CGAAGATACAGCTGGTAATGTGGAAAAAACGAGGAAAAATACTCATTGTTGTGCTTTTCCGAGGCGTACGCTGCTAAAACGATTAAAGATACCCAAAAAAATATGTATGATAGAATGATTCCTCTATAAAAGATCTAAAAGAACGTCTGCGACGCTATATGTCTATCTTTTAAGACTAACTTGTAAGAACGACGGGAAGGGACGCGACCGACGTCGTGGGTAAAAGCTTAAGTTCATAAAGATAGAAGGGTTTGCAAAAATGAATTTGGATGCCCAAAATAAAATGTAAATGTGTGTGTGAATGGTAAGCCACCATAACGCGTTACGTAATACGTGGTTTACACATAAGAAACACAAAAAAAATAGCTAGTAATTTAAGTGCCTAAAGCTTATTACATCAAGTTCAATGGTACCAACGGTTCGAGGGTACGAAATTAAAAATCAATCAGCGAGCGGCTGGCACTGACTGAACGAAAAGTTAACATCGTCATCGTTCTACGTTTTATCAATAGGAGAAGCTTTACGTAATTACTATTACGAGTAAATAATTTAAAGTGTTGCTCCGTACTAGTCTTTGATATCATTGCCTTCCTGCGATGGTATTTTAAAAGAAAACTACTTTGTTACGACGAAACGAAATTAAATTAAGAATGTGAAATTCTGTTTCCTAAATGTGCCTGAGATATGAACGATACTATTGTTATCTATGCTCAAAACAAGATTTAAAATTTTCATCTGTATTAGTTGTGGGCCCCCATGTCAGGGCTTCATGTATTTTAATTAATTAAATAAATTAAATTAATATAGGTATGTGTCATTGATATCTAAACTAATATTATAAAGCTGGAGAGTTTGTTTGGAATCGTAACGACGATGACATCATGGGTAACAGCCATAATTTATAAAGCTGAGGGAGTCGTTTGCAAAAATAGATATGAGTCCAAAATAACTATTCCAAGCCGAAGTCGCGGGCACAGCTGGTATAATATTAGATGTCTAAACTAAAATTAATTTGTAAAGTAGCTGAAGCCTCCTAATCTTTCAAAGCGTACCCGACGAAATTCAAGCCGCAGCCTCAACGTAATTGAATAAGATACGCAGCACGACATTTAAATAGTTCAACCATTAAAGCAGGTCTTCGCATGCAACCCTCAGTTTTCATGCAAATGTCCATATAATTTACGGGTACAATTTCCCCAACCCGCCGTTATCGGAGTCACAATTAAAACTTAATATGACACAGAATTGCTCGCGCAGCATTCTTAATTTCCTATAGATTAATTTTCTTTATTAAACCCATAAAGTGTGGAGCATTTTTCATAACGCTTTTTTTACAGCACCTATTAATTTTCCTCGGGTTTCATGCCTGTAGTTGGCTAATAACGTAAACGCATGCGTTGTTAAGTTGTTTAAGAATTCACATTTTTATCTTGAGATTTATTAATAAAAATATCACTACAATATGGATTTTTAAGTGTCAATCGATTTATTTTTTAAGGAGTTCATTTGATGGAAGGTGCGATACCCCAGTCATATAACATCTAGAAAAGTTAGCGCGGTCGAATTATTTTGGATATTTGGAAATTGACAGATTGAAACCGTAACGTGATTAAAATTGACAGTATTTAAATGAAATAATAGACTTTTAATGCCAAAAAAGGGTTGTTAAAAGGGGATGAAAGTTTTTATGGAAATTCGTGATTTTTGAAGAATAAAACTTTCTTTAACTTTTTGGGAATGGGAGTGAGAGTGGAAGTGAGAGTAGGAGTAAGTGTAGGAGTGAGAGTGGGATATACTTATTATGAATACCTTAATCAGCTCTTTGCAGTGAAACATTGTATCTTATTGTGTACACATATGCCTTATTCAATTTGTAAAATTAATAATAAAACAGCCTAAATAATTAAAACTTCCACACAAAGTTTCTCTTCCACATGGACAAAGTCGCGGGCACAGCTAGTATTGGAATATATACGAGTCTGGCTTCATGTCAGTATTTGACTCATGATTTTGTCGAGTAGTTATTTTAAACGCCAACGGGTCAGCAGCATGTTCAAAAACAATTCATCAATCTTTCCCATATTTTATCGATCACGCCAACCCCTATAATGCATCTACTGTTAAATGACTCCACAAGTATCGTGTTTTAATATGAAAATTATACCTAAACCATCCAACACTCTTCAATAATCATATACGAGTATTAGTCACGCGATCGGAAGGAATTTTAAAATTGCACATTCTCAGATCGATGTACTTAAAATGATTATATGTAGCATTATTATAAACTCCCTTTTAACGGTATTAAACGTGACATATATTTAAAGAAAGAAAAGAGCTGATTTGTATAATCAAAAATCAAAATCTTAAGCTTCTCTCTCATCTTAGGTTTAAAACGCGATATATAAGTAAGTAGTAGTTAGTCTCCCCGTGACCCCGGCTGCTGCAAAGCATCCGATACGTCGGCCGAAAATAACTAATATATCGCGTTTTAAACCGTTAAAGTATTTTAGACAGTCACTCTCAGCAATCGCGATCTTGTAAACTTGCTTTAACTTATACTTTTTACTTATTAAGTACCACTCGAAAATATGAACATGCTTCACATCGTTGTTGTGATTTATTTCTGTCTATATATTTTATGATAGAGGACCAAAGAGTGTGAGGTTTACTTGATGGAAGGTGAAATGACCGAGCCATATAACATTTAAACAAGTGCGCTGTCGACCTATTTTAGCTTTGGATATAAGCAAATCCACAGACTGAAGCCGAAACGAGATTAAACTTGTCGGCTTTTTCAACTGTGGACGGTGGTTCGTGACCCGGACGGAATTTCGATATTACTACCACTCATTTAATATTTACATTTCCAGACGTAGACAGGCTTTGGAGTGGCGATCGTACCCACGACCCATTAATTATTAGTCGCGCAATGCCATTGCACCAATGATTCGTCAGATTATAGTTCGACGATAAAAAATACATACGTTTGTAGATTAGAGCCTATGATATAATATTTTATTAATATAGAAGTATTTACATGCAATGTGCTATGACGAATCAGACAGTTTTAGTCAAGGGTTTGAATCTCGCGCAATAGGTAATTTCTTTTTTTATGAAAATCTTGATCTAAATATTAAATTTAAAAGTTAAATATTTATTATATATAACACAAGTTTTAGTTCAAAATATCATATCTACTTTGTGGTCAAAATATATTGATGTATATATACAGTATATTCTAGGGCATAGTAAAATAACTAAATAATAACTTAAGACAACAAAAATAGTTAGCTATCAACAAATGTACTAATTCGTGTTCTTAATCTACTAAATTACGCCGTATTAAGGATTGTAAGTGGAAATGGTAACAGTAAATTAGTGCATGTTATCAGATACTGTTTTAGTAGTTTGCGTAGCATTGTACGAAATAACTTCTAAAATATATAAGAAATAAACTATTCAAACTATTTAATTTTGTACCGTTACCTTCCTATATTATTCTTAATTTGTTCTTTGTCATTTATAAACGATATTCAAATGAGGTTGCCGATTCGATTCTCAGTTGTTAAACGAAATTATTGAAATCTTATCATATAACATTCGTGTTGAATATAAGAAATTATCGCGCCAAAACTATATCAATTTTATATGCTATTAACTAATATATTATCGACAAAAAAATGTTAAGGACTTTAATTTCAAACTAATATTATATTAGTTAATAGTTACTTATTGTCTACCATAGGTATACATTATACTTTTCACTATTTAAAATGGGAAATATATTACTTAATCTTATTTATAATTTATGTCAACTACGGCCCGACATTTCGTGGTAAGGTGGAGAGTTCCCTCGAAAATTCTTTTTTATCATAGTGTGTATTTGGACAAACTAACTTAGTCCTTACACACACACAGTGTTCGGACGGAAATTTCAATATCGTAAAATATACATAAAAATTATAATTTCAATAGAATCATGTTGCTACGGTGGAAATCGAACCCACGGCCAGTTGATTATTAACCATACATTGCTTTTGACCAACGCGCCGGCCAAATGTAAAAAAGGCCAGTATAGTAAATTAAAGGCTATATAAATTTAGTAGCGTGAGTCAAATTTATTAGACAATAATAAATTTATAAGGAAAAACATATTTTTATTAATGTTTTATGGAAGCTCCATCACGACCAATCGTTAAATACCATGATTTAAAGCGATTATATATACATTTAAACGGTCTTTACTCCGTTACATTTGTCCGTGCTAATTGAATATGTTGAAAATAATAATTATCTTATTTGCTTTTGGGAACGTAATTGCGTCAGGATCAGGTAATTAGTATTTAATATTTATTTGATGTATGTTATTAATTATGAATTCAAAAGACAATTAGGCATTTAAATAAAACCCTTTTATCCGTTTAAAACTCGAAATATATTTCTATTCCGGTTTTATTACCTCTGTGACCACGGCTGCTGCAAAACATTAGAAACTTTGGTCCGTATTTAAAAAAAATGTACCTACAGTGAGTTAACTAATATACTCGTTAAATTTAAAACAGTTAAATTGTTTTAAAAAATAGACATTTAATGAATTAATGAATTAATTAAAAGCTAGGTTTTAAAAGGTATAATAAAAATAGTGAAATAATAAAATAAAGATAATAGTTTTTGGATTTTCAAATGTCCTAACCCAATATGGTTTTAGATGTTAAATGACGGACAAATCTTGCCTTGTTCGGGTAAAACAAATATCTAAATGCACTCTTATAAAATGAATGAATATAAAAAAAAACAGTGATTTTATTAAAAAAGTTTGTGATTATTAATAATTTTTCGTAAAAAAATAGATTTTTGTTTATATGTATTGTTTGTCCACAGAGCAATGCAAACGACACGAATACTACGATAAATGTGTAAAGACCTGCGATCCGCAAACATGCAACAGTATTGGTAAAGTGTTTCATTGTCCCATGAGAACTACGAAATGTAAAAAAATGTGCCGCTGCATAAATGGATACTATAGGGATAAAACTGGAGCTTGTATACCAAAAAATATGTGTGGTATGTATACAGGATACACCTCTTCCTTACGGTACCTTATACTAGCTGTGTCTTACACAGCAGCACCTAGAATCTATATTTTATTGGCTTGTAAAGGCAAGAACTTTAAGGTTGTCATTCCAAACTCATTGAGAGATTATAACGGTGAAAATTGCAGCAATTACTTGAAATAATATTTTTAACGAAAAAACCGTTTCATCTTGAATAATGAATGGTCTCGAATAAGCGACGTATTGAAACTGAAAAGAAATTATAGAAGTAATATTTCAGAATCTGAAAAAAATAAAAACCCGGAATCTCCCCATAAACCTAATAAACCGCCTCCAAACACAAGCAGTCATGGATTACATCACAAGGTGGAAGAAGATACAAGCAGTGGTAATGTTTCAAATGCATCTAGATTTGATATATTAGATACAGTAAATGAAATATTTAAGTTATATAGAAAAATATTGACTTTATTTTAGGTTTTGATATTATCTCAAGCATTAGTAGCAGTAGCAGCAGTAGCAGCAGTAGTAGCAGTAGCAGCAGCTCATCAAGTGCAGATGACACTGGCGATGACACAATAGTAATGATCAGTAAGTGATAATCTTAATTTTTATTCTTTTACGTTGTTCGTCTCTTGGGTCTGCTTCCGGTGGTAAAGATACACCGTAGATTCTTTTATTCGCTGAGCAGTCGGGCGGCCATTGTGTGACTTCTAAAACGATTCTGGATGCAGTCATATGAGATTTACTGATTGAGATGAAACTCAAATAGCCTTGCGACTGGCCACAAAGGCCCTAAACAATTTTTAGATTTGTATTAAGAACTTATTATGGAAATTCTAATTATATATGTTGATACAAGAGAAGTTTACGGTCAAAATCCAAATCTAAAGTTCCAGCGCCGAGTTGCGGGCCCAACGAAATTTGGACGGATTGCATTAACGGTGGGTGCGGTAGACAAAACTGTTCGCAATTGCATTTACCAAAAATTTGTATCGACCCAGCGAAGGGCCATTGTAGGTCTGGATGCCGTTGTAAAGAAAACTATCTTCGTGATGGGCGAGGAATTTGCATACCTATATCGAAATGTCCCAAACGTAAGTAACGTTTAAACCATACCAAAAGTCAATCGTATCAAAAATTTAGAAAACGTTTATAATATCTACTTTTAATAGTAATATGTGTTTTTTTGTTCTTAGATTAAGTTAGTTTCTAGACTTATATCTGACTAAGGACGTACAGAATTGTCTTCTTCTCAATCAGAAAAAAAGACGAGAAGGAGACAAATGAAATTACCAATATTAAAACACATCATATACATCTAACCGCTCAAAAACTTGTTCTCTTTAATATAGAATTATTAAGTGGCACTGCAGTGATATAAGCACGCAATTTAATAAAATATGATTTCCCAAGTGTGCGTAACTAAACTGCTCCCTAATATTTATGCGAAGTCTTACGAGTCATAACATTTAAGCAAAGTGCGGTCGACATGAGGTCTTCGACTTTTGCCCAGCAACATGTCCGCCTCAACGATGCGATGTTGACGATCGTCTAATAAAATGTAGAGCACCTCCAAAATTGGGTGATAAAGAATGCGAACCCGGATGTCGTTGTGTGAATAAATTCTATAGGAATAACGAAGGTGCTTGCGTTCCAAAGTATCAGTGTCGTGAGTATTTTATATCACCTTATTACACACGTAGGAATTGTCGACAGTGGAGGGTAAGGTCAAAGTAAGTATTAACTTGTTACATAAATATACAAATATAGATGAAGGCTTATTATTCCTTTAAATCAAATTCAACCATTTAAACGTCCATAAGAATAGTAAGATATAAATGGTTATTAAACATATAGTGGCTCAATTAGAGTTATAGTAATGATATTTTTCTCATTTAGCGAAATGCCACAAGAAAAATGAAGTCTACGATCTATGTCCGAACCGATGCATGCGCCAAACGTGCGATAGTTTTTGGACAGAGCATGGAAAATGTCTAGTGCAGCCAGCAGTGTGTATACCTGAGTGCCGTTGTAAACCTAATACATACAGAAATGCATTAGGAGATTGTGTAACCAAAGAAGATTGTTGTAAGTATAAAACTGAAATATTTGTTTGTCGGACCATAGATCCATTATTTTAATCTAATAAGAGTATTAGTTGTATTAGTAACTAATTTAACTGTTAGTTGATTTCTCTTTTGTAATGCAGGTAAAGGTAAAATTGTTTATCAGTTTTAAATACAACCTTAAATATTAGAAATAATGCATAATGTAATAATGAGATGTATTATCAGGTTTCTGTTTGTATTGAAATATTTAATATCTCATCAAAAGTTTACTGCGTAGGAACGCAAATGTTTTAAATTTAGAATTGCACAATAACTTTAATTCTCACTATTAAAAATTGTACGTTTTAGTTATAAATTAAAGCAACTTTACGATTTACATGACCAGTTTGTCAAATGTAGCTTAATTGGCTACTTAAGGCAAATTAGACATATTTACATGGCGAGTAAAAGTTTTTAATAGGAAACATCTATTACTAAAATTTTAGTAAAATGTCCAAGACCTCACGAGTATTACGCATGTGGAGGGTCATGTGATAACGAGTGTAGTAAGCTGAGCAAACAGAATCAAACTAACTGTCCAATCGTAAATAAAAAATGCAATTTGAAATGCTACTGTGAATCTGGTTATGCTAGAAACCGTAATAATGAGTGCGTATCGTTTGATGAATGTCCACGTAAGTTTTTACAATAGTCATATTAAAACTTATCAACAACTTTTAAATGATAGATTTTTTTAATTACTGGTGAGTTTATATTAAAAATCAAATCAATCAAAAAGTTTATTCAATCTATCATACATTCCAACAACAAAAGACAAAACTTTGTCATAAGATCGGCCCTTCTTAAGATTCACCTTGCTTAAAACGTTTAAAAATTTTTAGCTAGTTGCAAAACAAACGAAAAATACGTTAAATACTGTCTATAGTTTACGCGAGTAGAACACATTTAAATAAAACACTTTAACCGTGGTCTCATCCTGACCACGGCTGCTGCAAAGCATCCGAAACGTCGGGCGGAAGTTAAAAATCATTTTCAAATAAGTTTAACTAATATATCGCGTTTTAAACCGTTAAAGTGTTTTATTTAAATGAAAAATACGTTATCAATATGATTACCATACACGAACCACAAACGTGCTGGGAGTATCTTTTCACGACGAAGGAAGAAATATATAACCCAAAAGGACCAGGATGTGTTTGCAATAAGAATTTCGCAAGAAACTGAACTGGGACCTGCATACCTATTGAAAAATGCTATCAAGATATTATAAGACAGAAAGAAGAAACAAGCGATGGTTGCTTTTAAATTTAAATAGAAAAAAATTAAGTTTGGAGCGTAGTTACAATGAAATAAAAATTAAGTTAACTTATACATTTTTAAACCGTTAAAAATACATGCCTCTGTATTTCTTAAATGATTAGTCGTTGATGTTTCTTTTTACATTTTAGAATGTAAAGAGCATGAAGAACACGTGCCAAATATTCTGGGAATGGGTCGCCCGGTCGACTGCTGGGGGTATATAGTGGGTTTGACGGGAATTAACGGTGAAGCAGACAGTAAAATCCCGAAGCCAGGATGCATGTGTATTAAGAATTATTTTAGAGATGCCAAAGGAAAATGCGTATCTGCTGACGAATGCGCAAAAATTTTGCTTGAGGGTCTCTAAATTTTGTATATAAAACAATACTTTTGTGAAATTTTTAACTGTTTGTTTGAGGAAAAATTCAACTATTAAATGTTAACTGTCTGATTTAAATTGTTGTTCCTACAGCACGAGCAATTAATATCTTATAAATAACATTTATAAACTTATTACTTATGCAAAAATGAGTTACAACAATTATTTTCGTTATTGTTCACTAAAAAACACAAATGACTATTTGCTTAATGACGCAGGCCTATAAAAGAAAAACTTAAGACGCATTGTTGACAGTGAAAATAATAAAAATGAATTATTGCCATATGTTTTAGTCTTTTGAAACAATGTTTTTCTATAGCTTAGGAGATGCACGTGACTTTTGCCTATTTATAAAGATAATTAGACGAATTTGCTTGACTATTGACTTTAGATAGGACTATAGCCAAGTTGAAATAACCATAAGTCATTTATTGTTTTCTTGCTAAAACATCTATTGTTTTATATTTATTTATGTCGTATTCTCGTCGTCGTCGTCTTTGGGTACATTGGGCAAAATTCAATCTTATATTTTGTTTCGGCGAATATTGTTTAAGAGTGCTAAAAATTAATACAGCGTACGAACAATCTTTTAGCCGTATTTTATCCTTATAGTGAATTGAATCTTCAATGTTGTTATAAAAATACGGCGTCATTTCATACATCAGCAGACGTGGCTGGTCGGCACAATGATTATCAAGTTTGGTATTTTAATAGCTTTAATAGGATATAGTGATATACTATGTTTTGGTATGTATGTTTTTCTTTATTCTCATAACTGTGCCATTCTTATGAATTGTCTATTGTCTATTGTTATTTATTATAACTTTTACGGTTTAAACACGAAATATTACTAGCAGTTGCTAAAAATATAAAGATACGGGTTTTTTTCATCCTGTGGCTTTTAAATATCTTTAGCATATTTTTTTATGATGGAGGAAGACAGTCAAGCATGGTTCCACTTGATGGAAGGTGTAATATCTCAGCTTTATAATTTCTTATCACGCAGTACGGTCGGCGGCTATTTTGGCTTTGAATATTCCATATATTAACTTTGTTAATATCATACTCGTTACTTTTTCTATATTAACAGGACCTTATGTATATAACTGAATCAGCTCAGCAAGGAAAAGCATTAAACAACAATATAATGTTGAAAATGGATATGACCGAATTTTTTCTAGAAAACTTTGGAAATGGAGGGGATGAACTTTCTTCATACAGCTTTGCAGAGTCCGGCGCGTCGTCGTCGTCATCTGCTTCTACAGCACACGCTTCTTCACACTCTTCAGCAATAGTTACCAATAATAACTGTGGTAATTATGGTCATTAAAGGGTTCTTTTTATATAAATCCTTTTCCGCGATGCATTTTTCGTTTATCGCCTCCTTATTATGAAACATTACTTATTTTAAACAAAGATTTTAACCTTATCATATGATTAGATTTGTGTGCGTGTGTGTTTATCACCTTCCCTATTTTAATTATCCTCGGTCAGATAAGAGTTGCAGTGCCACTAATAATATGTAGTTCACATATATATCTCAAATTCAAATTCGACCTTTAAAAATTATCTAGATCGCCCCGTAAGACCATTCTGTGGACCAAACGAGGTAAGAGATAATTGCATCAATGGTGGTTGTGGAAGACGGAACTGCACCCAATTGGGATCGCCTCGGGTCTGCATAGATGTATTACCAGAATATTGTATCAAGGGATGCAGATGTAAGGATAATTATCTGCGCGATAAGCATGGAAAGTGTATTCCAATCACTAAGTGTCCGAAACGTAAGTACTTTTATATTTCGGAGCATGTTTTCTTTAGACTATGTTTAAAGGAGATGGAGTATATGTCCGCTTCCTCCTTCTGCGAGAGGGCAAGGGAGATTGCTCGCGACGGCCTCGCTCTCCGACGGAGGAGACTTGGGCGGCGCCGGCGCTGTTGACGCCCGGCGTCCACAGTGACCTCGGTCATAACACCTCTTTTTTTTTATGGACAAGGACGGAATTTAGAATATTTCAGAAAACTCATAAAGTGCTTTTAAAAACATGTTGAACTCGAACTTCGAACTCAGTCGTTGGATATAATCATTCCTACCTAGACTAAAGTGCCCGTCTAAACAATATATTACTTCAATTAAAAAGTTTTTTTTAAACCAAACTTTTATAAGGCGAAACCAAACTTTGATACGCATTAAATCTATCTACAATAATTATTGTTATATAGAATAACTACCAATATTCGCCACATTTATGCTCTATATATAAGGTATTACGTAATAGCAAATTAATCTACTTCTACTAACTAAAGTTAAGACATAAGACATAGAGCCTACAGAAATAATTGTTTTACAAATTACAGCAAAATGCAAAAAACACGAAGTGTTCGACTTTTGCCCTGGAAATTGTCTGCCGGATTGTGATCTCGACTTAGCAGTAACATTATGTCTTCCTTCACCAAAGCCTGGTGATCCTAAATGTGATCCTGGCTGTCGGTGTGCTGATAATCTATATAGGACCAGAGCTGGTACTTGCGTGCCAAAGGAGAAGTGTCGTAAGTGTTTATCCTTCCTAGTCTTCGTCTGCTTAAAATGGTCAATTAATGTTTGGATGGCTTCCACAAAGCCACAGAAGAGCGGAAGAGCACCAATTTTCTTATTTAAATAAAACACTTTAACGGTTTAAAACGCGATGTGTATTAGTTAAACTTTTTTGAATTTATTTTAATTACGGCCCGACGTTTCGGATGCTTTGCAGCAGCCGCGCTCACGGAGAGACGTCTCGGCATCGCCTTTTAAACCTTTAAAGTGTTTTATTTAAATATGTACTACTTACTTACATTATTAATTTCTTTTTAGTTCTATAGATTGAATATTTATTACTTGTGTTTAATTTTTTTCTCAATCTAAAGTCAATTTTATTTTTTTTATATTGCCATCATGTGCAATATGAACATGTGAAAAAACAAAAAATAGTTTTTGGTCGGGTATGGCACAGAAGTTTTATAGAATAGAACCCTGCGACCTCCCCTAACTCGAAAATATCGAAACAGATAAATCGTTAATTATCTTTTATTAGCACCCAAGTGTCCAAACGACGAGGTATACGAAAAATGCCCAAGTTGCATACCAAATACTTGCGACAGTATATGGACAAGGTATAAAGCCTGTGACCCAGATTATGTCTGCACGCCAACATGCCTTTGCCCCCCCGGTAAATTCAGGAGCAAGATTGGTGAATGTATTACCGCTGAGGAATGCCGTAAGTATTCAAACCAAACAATGATAAATTAAAAAAATAGATTAAAAAGTGTCACCGGCGTGATTCGAACTGACTATCAAATGGTGACCATTTCCAGTCCGTTATTTTTTGCAATCTCATGTCGACGCATGTAATATTTAATCTCTCTACATATTAGATTGCCACTATTTACGAAAATTATGTACCTACAAAAACGGTTCAGAAAACCAAAAAAAAATGATGAAATAACCCTTTAAACAATCTAAAAAAAATGTCTGCGACAGCTGTAACTATCTTTTAAGATTACTTCGCAAAAACCGTTTTTGTGGTAATCAAACTAGTTCGAAATGAATCGTCTATCGGTACGACTAGTAGTTAACAAAACATAAAAGAAATATTAAATATGATTGTAAAATTGGTGTTGATTTCAGAATAGACCTATTTCTATTATGTTCTACTAGCTGTGTTAACGACTTCGTCCGCGTAGAATTTTAGAATTTTCTAGATTAGAGTCTAGATTCTAAATTTTAGAATTTTGAACATTTAAATTTGTTTTTGCAAGCCTCTACACTTTTATAAATTTAAGCTGCCCACGACATCGGTCGCGTCTCGTCATTCGTGTCCCGTCGTTCTTGTAAGTTAATCTTAAAAGATAGACACATTCTTCCATTTATATTTTTTGCCGTTCACATTTACCGCTGTATCTTCGCTTCTATTAGTCACAGCGCGTTGTTTTATAGCCTTCGTCGATAAACGTTCTAACCAACACAAAAATAGTTTTTCAATTCGAACCTGTAGTTCCTGAGATTAGCGCGTTCAAACAAACAAACTCTTCAGAGTTATATATAAGTATAGATTCTATACAACCACGGTTTTCTTACGGGTTGACATGTAAGTCCAAATTATGGACCACAGCTTAAACGGTCTATAAGCAAGACATTGTTTTGCAGAAAAATGTCGCGGACCTAACGAGTACTTCACATGTGGCGGTGTCTGTGATAATGATTGTAATAATCTGAGCCGACAGAATCAAACCAGTTGTCCTTATGTGAACATCGTATGCAATAGAAAGTGCTACTGCGATGACGGATATGCGAGAGACCCTTATAACAATTGCGTACCCTACGCTGAATGTCCACGTAAGTGCATTTTGCCTTTAATAATAACATAAAGTGCTCAAAAAATTCGACGATGAGGTGTAGGACTCGGTAGCTCAATTGGAGACCAACAGCACGGAAAGCTGACGATGCCGGTTCAAGTCCTGCCCGAGTCAAAATTTTTTTCAATTTATTTTCGATTTTTGAATTATATAGTGCCTTCATGTGCAATAACATGTGAAAAATATTAATGTTTTCAAAATTGTATTTAATTCCTTTATATGTCTGTAGCTGACTTCTATACCAGGCTGAAATTATTGTTTTTTTAAACCTCGGACATAGAGTCACTATATACATAAACTGTATTATTGCAGCGGAATGCCCTGACAACGAACGTTACTACTACAACGTGAATACAGAATGCAGACCACAAAGTTGTTCTGAGCTAGATCGACCCCTGAAACGTGCTGAGTGTGATTGTCGTGGCAGAGGTCCACCTGGTTGTCTGTGTATTGAAGGGTTTGTCAGGAACGATGATGGTGTTTGCATACCAAAAGATAATTGTTGTAAGTATGATAAGTCGTTTACGACCGTACGTACCTTCAATCTGTCGTATATGTGAACTCTACCAGGAACTACACCAACGAGGCAGTTAAATAACATACATTTTTGCATGTTGCATTATATATAAATATATATATATAAATTCCTTGAGAGATTATGTACAATGACTCATTATCAGGGTAACTCATTGCTAAAGCAACAGCACTGGTCCCTGTGGTCGTGGGGGCGAGTCTCGTTTGTCTCATATAATTTCATTTAAAATGCTATTAATGTGCAATAATACGTGATAAATAATGATTTAAACCGTAAATTAAGTTTATTCACGAATTTACACATCTTCAAATCTTATAAATAAAACACTTTTAACGGTTTAAACGCAAAAAGTATTACTTAATTTTATTTACAAGAAAATGTTAATAACAGCCCGACGTTTCCGATGCTTTGCAGCAGCCGTTGTCACGGCGAGACTAAAGATGGAGGGCGTTCCTAACGTCAAAGTCAAAACTGCTATGCTAACGGGATCTGTTCCGCCGTAGTTGATATTAGGCAAAATTGGCCGGGACCTTGCAGAGCTAACAGTGAAGTCGCGTTCGTACAATTTGCGTTTTAAGCAAGCATCGTCAGCAAGTAGCATACGAAACGTCGGGATATAGTTAAAAGTGCTTTGTAAATAAGTTTATCCAATGCATTTCGTGTTTCAAACCGTTAAAAGTGTTTTATGTAAATGTGTACTCTCGTAAACTACGGACAGTAATTCATCTTTAAATCATTAAAATTGCTTTCACTTTTAATCATTATTTCTTTTTTTTTACAGATGCTTCCATATACTATTGAAGAACTAGAGTGGAATAAATATACTATTTTCAAATTAACTAACAACATTAAAATAATATAACAACAACTTGTTTGAAAATAAATATATTTTACATACATTTTCTTTTATTTTCCATCTAAACACGACTTAAAATAATGACTAGCATTTCGTTAAGCGTCTCTGTGGCTCAGTTAAGCACGCAAGGTCCTGGGTTATAATCCCGGAAAGATTATGAATAAATAAAATAGTTTCACTGGTCAATAGTTAAGCAAGTACAAACATATTTTCCAATTACCCATGCACTGCGACTCAACAAAAAAGACCTATTTTAAGCACGATTAAAACAGTCACTACTGTTTATGCGAGTAGTACATATTTATATAAAACACTTTAATGGAATAACACGCGATATATATTTGGATTCCAATAAAAAGCATACCAGCAAACGCGAAGACACCGTTACTCAATTCTGCTAGGAACCGGCCAATTTCGGCAAATACCAACTTCGAACTTCAAAGGAACAGAAAAAAAACACGATTTACGCTGTATTAATGCCTTTAATCGGGATATCTTAAAACAGGTTTTCTTAAATCCCGTTTTAGTATCGTTTTCGAGGCTTCAAATATATGAAACTACTTAAAGTTTAATTAGAAAAAACTTGTAACCTATCGATAAGATCCTTAACGAAATAGTAGAAAACATTTTTGAATTTCGGTATAGAACAATAAAAATAAATAAATTCTAGCAACTTGAAATATGAAGGAATTAATTACAACGTTTTATTTGCCAATTTATCTCGTATAATTTAATATTAAAATAGTTCTATGCGATAGAAGAACTCTTTCTTTAATATATTTACCTTAAAAAATCTATCTATTTGTTATAATTATTTTAAAACTACTAGAAATCGTTGCGCGCAAATCAAAATTCAATTCAGTCCGCCGCTAGGCCTTCTAGAGTGTGGATGTATCGCTCCGCGCTGCGTCTGATTTCATTGACCTTACTACGATATTAGACATAGAGCGAACACAAGCTTATGACTAAGTAAAATATTTCAATATTATTTTTGATGGCAAACAATAATTACGATGACAATACATTACTTTACAGAAGTAATGGGAAATAAAAAAGAAGTTATTTTTAAGCAAAGAGAATAAAATGCAAAAATAAAGAAATTTGAAAAGGCACGAGCTAAAAGGTTGTTAGAGTAATTTTGCCAGTTAGCGTCCATTTAGTGCAGTTGGGAAGTTTGAGGGCGATATGAAAAATATTCCCGCATTTATATCTTTGTAAAATTTCTTTAATGTATCATTTGTATTTTAAGATTCACTTTTAGTTTTGTTCGAAGCATTTTTGTTATTTTTTTAAATAGACAAACTTCATAAATATGCATTTTACCCGGTTTACTTCGACAAAAACCCAAGTAACGTCCACCCCTGGACCAATTCGCGTCCACCATTAGGACACATTTTAAAATAATATATATTATAAATTAACGTTATAATACGGCGAACGTAACTTGGCAAGTCTGAACTTAGCGCGAAACGCTGCGCAGAAATGTTCCATATGATGTTAACGGTGGTAAGACCGACATGGGCGGGACGGAGATCTAGGCTAGAGATTGACTCAATGTCAACACAGGCGACCGGTTATTCTATTAAATTTCGTAATCGACTTTGATTATGGTTTTTAATTCGTATGGGATATTGTAATAAATGCATTTACGAGAACAGTGAATGGTGTTGTTTAGATGGGTTAGAAGCCACACAACTATATATTTTTCACTATCTACTTCTAGTGCTGATTTTGGTCCAGGTTCTTTTACTCCAAATCCAAATTCAAGGACAATTGCAGGTAACGAGAAAGACTATGTTTATTTGCAGTCTGGACAGGTAAGACTTTTCCTTGAAAGTTGAAAAAATAGATTATTATTCATATTACACTTAAATAATTTTTAAATCCGAATAAAATGTTTTATTGAGCAGTAAAAAAATATGAACTGATGATATTGTTGTATTTACTGACAACTACGCCCTTAAATCTTGGACAATTAATTTCATTGTATATCAAATAAGAAACACTACTATACGATATGTATTGTTTTTAAAAGTACCAAACCCTCGGTGACCACATAATTATTATAAAATTGCAAGGATTATGACGAGTTCTAGCGCTACAAATCGTCCCAACTCACGCACACAGACTCTTTTGCGTCTGTGTGACTAAATTTCGCTCTGAAATGCCTAAACTTGACATCGCGCGAAAGGTGTAAACGCTCTTAAACAAACGGTTCGGAATGAGATAATTGGTTAAAATTTTTAACTATTGACTTAAAAAAAACCTTTTTTTGACGTTGAACCTTAATACGCAAGTGTCAAGGTTGAAATTACATTGCACGAGAGGTGCATGTATCAATAAGTTGAAAAAAAGCGACGATGAGGTGTAGGACTTGATAGCTCAATTGGTAGAGCAATAGCACGGAACGCTGACGCTGAGGGTTCAAGTCCTGCCCGAGTCAACAATTTTTTCAATTTATTTTCGATTTTTAAATTATACAGTGCCTTCATGTGCAATAACATGTAAAAAATATTAATGTTTTCAAACTATTGACTTACGTTTCGACTTAGTTGGGCTTTGTATTCTATCAATTATAGACTACATGGTCCTATTGAGCTCTTTCTAAGCAACTGTTACTGTTAGTTCTTTCATATAGCTATTTAAAAGGTCATCTATTAAATTACGGGGATTTGTATTCACAATAATCTAGCATGGAAAGGTTCCAGAACCTTTCCATGCTAGTTTAATGTGAAACGAAAGAAGAAAGCCCCAGGGCTTTCTTCTTTCGTTTATATTTTTATATTTTTGCCGTTACGAGAGGAATGTCTTCGGATGTCGCTAAGTCGTTTCAGGTCAGTCTTCATTTATAGGTACTCCGTCTGGCCATAAATACTGTTACAATTAAAAAAGGTCAAAATATTATATTTTAATTTGGAATATTTAACTCAATAAGTTATCTCGTTTTGGCGCTAATAAATTTTACAATATTTTTTGATATTAAAATACAGTGGGATGACACAGAGAATAGAACCGCTGTGATTGCATTAGACAAAGAAGATATGGAGCCAAATACAATTTTTAAAACTCTCCATTTATACTAAATAAAATGTTTGTGTACCGCACTATTAATAGGTACAATCAGACCTCCTCTTTTTGTGACAGAAAAAGATCTGGCCTTCCATGTAGTGTTCGTACGAAAAAGGTGGTTAAAGCAGTAAAAGAGAGAATTCGTTGAAACCTTGTCCGAAAGCACAAGATTTTTTCCCAAGAGATGAAGATAGAACCGATGACGAACGATAGAATAGATGACTTAGGACTTTCAGCCTATGAGGTCAGAGAAAAGTTTTGTTTATGGATGAAAAAAAAATTACAATTGAGCTCTAAGGAAGCTTCTCAATTAGTAGACAGAGTTCAGCGTGAGCATTATCCGTCTTCAGTGACGGTTTGGTGGGGTGTAAGCTATGAAGGAGTGAATGAGCATTTGCAAAAAAAGTATCAAAATATCTGATCCGGCCCAGATACCGCTGGAAAGACGCCGTGGTGCTTGACCTGGAAGAACTCGGTGGTGATTGGCGAACCGTGAGGCAGGATCGGCGGAAGTGGCGTCCTCTTGTTGTGGAGGCCAAGACCCACTTTGAGTCGCTGCGCTAGTGGAGTAAGTAAGAGTAAGTAAATAAAAGTTTTCCTTTCTAAGCGGCCTTTTTTTCTATCACGTATAAAAATCTAAAATATAGAAAGTGTTTGATTGTCCAGTAAAATGTCCAATAAAATTTCATTAAAATCGACAACACGATTAAACTATTACTTGTATCACGTTTAATATAACTGTTAAATAATAACGACAAACAAACGATAATACATTTATTGCACTAAAATATGACCTTGGCGGGTACTGAAAACACTACAAATAACAGCCACTAGCCGATGCAAAACGCCAGTCTTGTATGGATAGAAACGCAAAATGTCTGTAAATATTTTTAAAGTATTTGTTATTGTATATGTTGTAATAGGCTCTTGTGCTTATTGCAGTACCTCATCAGGTAAGTTAATACAATTGTTTGTATGAATTGTTATATTAGAACATAGTTTTTATTTTTATTTTGAGTTTTCGTGTATTATTTCTTGCAATTCTTCATAGAGAAATAACATTGTTTTCGAGGTACACAATTTTCTTGGGGAAGCGGAAGGGAGGGCTTTTTTGACTACATTATTTAATATAATATATTAATATATTTTATGATTTTAACTGTGAGGTTAGAATTATTGATATTCAACTACCACTAAAAGTAAAACACAGATCAATGTTTTGTTTGAACAGTTGTTATACATGTAGATACAGAAAACAAAACAGTTTTTAGTTATTTGCGTCTTTGAAAATTATTGAATTATTAAAAATTATAAAGTGCTCATCCAATTTCGACAATTTACTTACCTATTGTTTTTAAAGCGATACTAATTGTGGCACGATGGAAATTATCCGCCATATTCGATGCCACAAACCCGAGTTATAATTTTTAGAATATCATTAAATTAATCAAGAAACTTCACACTTATGTTTTAACATTTGTAATAAAAGATAATTTATAATTATAGACCGAAAATCCGATGAGAGTGATAATGAAGAATATCAAAGCCTGAGAGAAGGTTTTGACCAGGGAAACGACGACTTTACAGCGAACTTTCTATCCGTTAGTTCTTCATTCATAATACAAGACATTTAGATTATTTAAACAAAACTTCAAATTAATGACTGCTGTAAGCTGCATAATCCTGCCACATAACCCCGCGCCGGACAGAGATACTAGGACTAATGCCTAATAATAATATTTTATTGAAATAACATACTGAAATCGCCTTAACCGTAACGCAGATATATTACTGTGTCCATTCAACTGATCAATTTGGTTTACACGCATATAGTTAAAGTTCTGTAACTTGCTCGACCTAAACAATTTATGGTTTCCTGGAAATCACACCCAAGATCTCCCGTGCTTACGCAATGCTAGGCAATTTTATATATGTCTAGCTATAATTATGTACAATTTTTTATCGGGCACAGCTTTCTTACTTTGTCAGTTACAGTTTTGATTATTTTCAGCCCAAAATGATTAAAGAATAGCATTGAAATATAATTTTCACTTTTAGGACGTCATCGATGAAAATCCAAATACTAGCGCTATTACGTCACCATTCAGCGTTTTGTTCTTACTGTCCCAACTAGCATTGCACGCGAAAGGGGAATCATACAAACAGCTGGCGAATCTTCTTAATTTAAGAAGTAGATATGACGTAAGTATTATAATTATTTTGTACATTTGAAAGGAAGCTTTCAAAATTAATTTAAGCTTTGTTCGAGATATGCTAGCTAGAATAACAATTATTTATCGTTACCATTCTTCAAGGATACTTCTTTAAGCCTACTGTAATAGGAGTACTGTTACAAACACTTTTATACAAGTGATAGAAATAAACCTTCTTTCATCTTATCATTACCTTGTGTGTACTTTAAATTTAGGTAAAGTTGTGTTCTTAGTTTAGGCGAGAGGTACGCGATAACAAATACAATATCAACGGGCTTAAACGAAAAAAGGTTTTATAGTTTATAATGGTTTTATTTAACCATTACCTACTTTTAGTTAATTTCATCCTTCATACTAACAAGAGATAAAATATTTTTGCTTCATAGATAAGAGTGATGGTGCCAAGATATTTAGACGATATCAATTCTCAGCGAAGTGTAAACTTTTCATTAGCCGAAAGAGTCTACTGTAGTATGGATTACCCATTCAGTAATGCGTTCAAACGAGACACAAGAAATACGTACCACGCTCAAGCTGAGAATTTAGATTTCAGCGAACCTGAAGAAGCCGCACGAATGATAAATGCCTGGGTAAATACATTTCGGTTATATAGTAGAAAAATAAATTAAGACCAACATATTTTAATAATAGAAAAGGGCATAGAAGCATTAGAAGCATTAGAACATTCACTTGATGCTATATGAAATACCAGCCATATAACAAACATCTCAATAACATATTCTGGCTTGGGATATTTGGAAATGTACTGACTAAAACCGAAAAGAAGGAACACCTCGCGGCTTCTTCACGTACGGACGATTGTTCATGACGTGAAAGAAATGTCAATATTTATCCCACTCAATTAATATCGATTGTTTTCAAACATTTTGATTCTTCCCCAACCATTACTACAATGGACCAACTAATCTATTCTTTTCTATTCAAATGTGTTTTTTTTTTCAGATTGCATCCAAAACTAACAACCTTATAACAGATTTAGTGCCTTCCTCATCGTTAAACGAAGATACAAGATTAGTGCTCACTAATGCTATATATTTTAAGGTAAGGATATAATAGAATAAACAATTTATATTACAGACGCTACTAACAACAAACAAACATTGTATTATTAAGCATATCATTGTTTTTCGGGCTGTGCGGGCGACATGAGTGAGAAAAAGTTCTCCACGTTTCGCCATCACGAGCGGACGGCATCATCAGGATATTTAGGAGGAGTTAGCTCCTCGATTTCTCGAAGAATTAATTCTACCGCTCGAGATGTCGAAACGTCGAGAACCTCTTCTCGCTTACGTCGACCGCAATCCCAAAAACAATGATATGCTGAACGATGGCCGTTAAAGTCCTACCAAATTTATTAAAATTTGTTGAAATCAAGGAATTATATAATGCGTGAAAACTTTGCATTTTCCTCCTCAACCGTCAACTCTACCGTGTCTCATCTAAGACATGATAGCTAAATTTGTAAAGCACCGGCACAGTATGTGGTTGTGAGTACGATTATTTTTAATCTTGATTTGTTCTTATGTCTCACTAAATGTTATCTTTGATAATTAGGGAGATTGGAGAATGCCGTTTAACCGAAGGATGACGAAAAAAAGTGACTTCCATGTAACCCGCAAACACAAAGTGTCGGTCAGAATGATGAATCAAATTGGCCACTTTAACTACAGCTACCTGAAAAATATTAAAGCTAAGGTTAATATAAAAATATTTTTAAAGTTAATTTTGACACGCACGAAGTGAAAGCAGATTGATAGAAGGTTTTTTCGTTTGATAAGTGTAATTTTATCTCGGACTCCTTAGTTACATTGAATAAAGTATTTTGAATATTAAAAAGATACACTTTATAATTAATTTGTATTACGATCTGACGTTATTAATAGTATTCAAGTTATGTAACTATTAGTAGTTGTATGAATTTGAAAAAGTTGCTTATATTTGCATTGAACACAAGAGATCGTAGGTTTTGTTGGACTGAAGGTCGCTGAACTAACATTCCGTATCACTTGCAGGTTATCCAATTGTTTTACAAAGATGGCAATTTTTCGTTTGTCTTAGTGCTACCCAATAAGGGGCACAGTGTACGATCTTTATCAGAAGATTTGCAATATATAGATCTACAAAATGACGTCATTAATCAGTTGGAGCCCGCCAGAGTCAATCTTACAATGCCTGTTATAGATACAGAAACTACGACAGATCTAGCTGATATTCTGAAAAAGGTGAGAAAGACTGTTTTGTGTTAACTGACATGGGTAACTCGTAAATTATTGCTTTTAATAAGGTTATTACCATTTATAAAATAATTTTAGACTATATAATCAGGTATAAAACATGTGCATAACAACATAGATCTGTTTTATTATTATTCAGCATAAAACAATTGCATAATAAAAATGTTTGACGTTTGTTTGTTTTCCTCCCACTTATTCAGCTTCTTCGTCGCAAAGCTAATCGTGAAATAAATATTGTAATGTTATATTTTGTTAAACTTTTATGTGCAAAAGATAATTAAGCTATTTATCAGATATGACTAAGGGTATAGCTTAATACTTATTTAAATCGCAAATTCTTATAGCACCGAAATCGCATAATATAATGTCAATCACTTTGGATATTTAATTATGTTCACAGAATGGCGTGACAGCTATATTCGATTACGATAATTCGGACTTATCTGGAATTTTGAAGCACCCAGAGCCGTTATATGTTAGCAGTGCTATGCAGAAGGCGAAGATCATTGTCAACGAATCGGGCTCGGAGGCGGCTGCTGGAAATGGTAAAATACATATATACTTTTCTCATATCTACAAATTCAATTCGTAGAAATGTCACCCCTTACCTTCATTAGTTTTTGTTTACATGCGTTGATCACTAAAAACATACAAATCTAATTCAAACAGAGACAGAGGTTGATTTCGGATGAACTCATCAAATGATGTAGTTAATAAAAAATATAAGATTCGGCGAGTAATACACGTTTAGATAAAACAATTACGGTTTAAAACGAAATACATCAGTTGACTTATTAACTTAACCATTTAACTATAAATCGACATTAAACTATTAATAGTCTTCTGTTACATATAAATATTATATTTATAAAATACTTTACATACATTTCAGCAATCATGGTCGGCACAACGGCGGCGGAAGCAGAGCCTAAAACGGTCCGAGCAGACCGTCCGTTTATTTACTACATATTGTTCAAAAATACACCTATTTTTGCTGGCACTTATGCGGGTCCACAAAAATCATAAAACGTTTTTTTTTAATTTCAAATTTCTGATTTTATCTAATATTACGTTTCGATTTATATTCGGAGTAACTTCATTGTTTTAACTTACATAGAAATATCTTCCTTTGTAATAATATGGATCAATGTTTATAACTATAAATTAAATGACACCAAAACACTGAATAAAACGTCAATCATTTACAGAAATCTCCTTAAACCGGCGTTCCACAGTGCTTCTACATTTAGTTAATAACTGTGCAATTGGTTACGGTACTGTAAATTAACATATATTTTCAGCTGCCGTGTTGACTACGAAAGCGGCTCTGGCGCCCGGCGAACAAACCCTTGAAATATTCGACGCAAACCGACCCTTTCTTTATTACGTTTTATTCAAAAACGCACCCATATTTGCGGGAGTCTATGCAGGACCGCTGTAAACGCAGCGTAAAAATATTTTTCATCGTATTTTATAGCTGTACTGTGAAAAACATATAACATTTTTTCGCCATCAAAATTTCTATTTTTTTACATATTTTCAAAGAGCGGTCCATGTTGGACTAAAATGGTTAAAAATTATATTCCGGGAAAGTCACTATTCTATTCCTTTGTCCTTAATGCACTGTCCTTTTAAACCATCGCAGTTCTTGGAAAATAGGAATTAAGAATTTTATTTCTCATAATTTACAGTGCCGGGAACAAGTTACTGAAATGTGTTTTAATTAAATTTAATTATATCTGGCTTTAGACCATAACCTAGTAACACATGGAGGAACACTCGCTTAATTTTCATAAAACAAACATTTCACTTAATATTATTAAAAAAAAAAAAAAACTGTAAGCATTAGCATTTTACTGAATCCCAGAAACGGAAATCCTAATAAAAACTGAATTAATTATCTCCAAAATGGAATACTATGAAATGGAGATACACAGAATCCTCAAGCAATTTTCAATTATGTTTCTAGTAACTAAGGTTTTTACACATGAGTACAAGTAATAGTCATATTTAAAAAAAATATTAATTTAAAACCTACTACAGTAGCTATCTATGATTTTTTTTTTTCAATATTAAAGAGCAAGCAGAAATTGAACATAAAATATTTAATATAACATAGTAATACAATAGCTTAATATATTTTTTTTTAACTTTCTAATAAACTTACACTTTACCTAAAATAATCAATGGACCAAAGCCTTTAACTAAAACACTTTTTTTCCAAAACCAAAATTAGTTGTTAGGTAATTTAACTTCTTAAAGAGTTTAAGAGTGTCACCCGGCACTCGACTGCTTTTCAAGCTTAAAAATTCGCCCTGAATAAATAATCAGAACCGGTTTCTACCACCGGGACTTTAGTATTGATGATTTAATTAAGAAGTGTAGTTGTCCAAAAACTTGTGTTAGGGGAGTTTCAAGGTTCAGCGGTCTCCCGGGAATGTTATCCGTGGCGTCGGAATTTGTAATTAAGAAACAACGTCTTAGAACAAAATCTGTTTACGACCGGGGTATTTTAAACTCACTTAAACATTTACATTATATGTGAAACTCCTAATAGACAAAGAGCTAGCCATTTTTTTTAATTATACTACTTACCCCCCCCCCCCCCGGCCAAAAAAAGGGGGGACGTCCCCCTCGTTTTACAGCAGCGAGACACGGTAGCTCAATTGGCTAACCAATTGAGCTACTATATCTCGCTCGTCACTATCGAATTTTTTCAGCCCATTGATAGTATCACTTGTACCTTATTGCAATGTAATTTCAACTTAACACTTACATAATTATTATTTACATAACTAGTATTTAGAAAGATTAGTTAAAATAACAGAGTACCTAAGCTTACTATTGTTTTTGTGACTATAAACACAGCCTGCCATCACGTTATGAACGACGATAAAAGCTCAAGCCTAAATCCTCACCAGCTCTCTTGCTATAATTGTTTATTTATACTCAAAGTTTTTATTACCTTATCGTGAAAAAATACCTAAAAAAATTAATAGAGGAATTCGAAAAGCAAACTCTTTATTATCTAAAACTCTGCGTTATATAAGTGGAGTAACTCGTGTCTTGGAAATTGACAGGATTATTTTTTACGTACTGCTACCAACGTTCCTTAGTTAAATAAATTGATTTTTTGACTATTTTTACAGGTTAGTTTTGAATACCCAAAAAATACTGATTACTTGAACAAGAATGAAGCGTCAGGTTTATTATTTTGTATTTATTTCATTGATTAATTGTATGTAAAGATAAGTAGGTATTTAAACAACCACGTTACAAGACTGTAATATATATTTCAATATGTACCTAAAATACTAACCCAGGGCTCGTTCGTGGAATGGTTCAATCACCACCAGATCCAAGATATTTCTAATCAATTTATAATTTTTCTGCAACATGTTGAACTTCTTCTGGAAATATGGATATTAAATGGAGGGTAGGAATCGAAATTCCATCCGGGTCTTGAACCACCGTCCACAGAAGAAAAATTTGTCGTCAAAATTAATCGCGTTTCGGTTAATAGAACTTCCAAACAATAACCATAACTTGACCGGCAAGAAGCACCGACGCGGCAAAATCCACTCCCATAATACATTTGGTAATCCTGGTTTAAATTTGAACTCCGACTCAATTCGTAGTTATTGAGCCGCGGTACAAGTTGGATTCCAACTTCACTATCAACTAATTTACCACGAGGCCAATCCTTACCTTTGCATAGTTATCGATCGGAGGAACTCGAACCGTTAACTACGAAGTCTCAAGGAAGCTTCGGAGATATTTTTTTAAATTTCATCTTTGGATGTGTAATCTTTTCAACTTAAACTAAATGATACACTCTATTATAGTAAACTATTCTTTCTTTATCTTTTAATTACTTATACTTTTACAACAAAGAAATGCAAGCTTTATAATTTTTATTAGATACAGAACAAAACGATAATACAATAAACGTAATAAAGACAAAATAAGTGTACCAGCCATCGAAGCTAGCTCCATAAAAGTAGTAGTTATTTTCAAGGTAATTGCATACGATATTTTTAAAAATCCCCAGTGAAATGTAAGCACTATCAGTTAATTAATAATGTGTAACAAAAACTGCTGGGATAGGATAGGATTATCATGACGTTAATCAATATTTAAACGATAGAATGCTTGGGTCTTGGAGGAACCCGCTCTAACAAGAAAAAATATGTAGTGCATTGAAAGTTCGTAAAGACAGAAAAATAAATGAAACTATACTAAAATGAAACTTGGCGATAAAAGGAGTCACGGCGAGTATCTTGCTAGTTCTACGACCTACTTGTTTGTTCTACGACCTACGCCCTTGATTTGAAAACTGGTAATAAATATGAAATTTCTTTATTTAGTTCTTAACTTACCATACGTGTACCTAGTTACCTATGTGAATAAACGTTTTCACTTTCACTTTGACTATACACTATACTATTTGCAGAAACAAGACATAAGGAATAACTTCTTAATAGAAACCATAGACACAATAGCACTTCGATACCTGAATTAAACTCGCTTGGTTAACCAATTAAAGATTAGACGTTCTCGAGGATTCTCCTTACACCATCAAGCAGAAATAATATGTAGTGGATAATCTAGTTTTATACTTACCAAGAATTAAGAGACGGATATGTTTATTCTTGTCGAAAGGTCGAGAAGACCTAGAAGTTATAAAGTGCGCTGTTTTTTGTTTTCTTAAAACTTCTGCGATGAATCTAAAATACTATGCTTATTTCTGTACTTATAGCTGTTTTTCGGGCTCTTCGGCCGACGAGAGCGAGAAGTGGTTCTCGTCGTTCGTCAATCGAGGAGTTAACGTCTCCTGATGATGCCGTCCGCACGTGATGGCGAAACGAATAATTTATCTAAATTAAATTATAACCACAGACTATTATCATATAAATGTATATATAGTATATATTTATTTAGTCATCCAGCGTGCAGTAGTTATTCTAGGCATCAAAATGTATCTTTGCAACAACCTCTTTATAAATTCTAGCTGTTACGAACTCTTACTTAAGAAGATAGACATTTACTGTCGCCGACCTCTATGTAGATCATTTAGAAAATAATAATTCTTCGATACATATTTTTTGATTTCTTGACCCGATTTCGCAGCGCAAGCAAAGGAGCCCATCGAAGATGAATAACTTTCCCCGTGTCTTTCACATTTCCTACGGTTTCTTTGATCACCCACTAGTCTCAGCGTGACTCTTAAAACCTTACGCATTCCTGGATAAATGATCTATCGAACATAGAATTTATGAATACGAACCAATAGTTACTAAGACCAGCGCGATTAAACAAACCAACAAACTCTTAACTTTACAATAGTAGTTATTAACTTGATTTTGGTCAACCGACATCCACAGCGTTGCATGTAACTCTACTACTACCTACTACTATTTACTAAGCATTTGAGCTACCGTGTTATAATATGTCCCGCCAGTTTCGCAATTGTTTGTTAATCTAAATATCTTTCAATAAAACAAATCCGTGGCACATCGGGCCGTAGCTAAAATTATTTTCAAATTAGTTAAACTAAAATTTATCGCTTTTTAAACTACAGACAGTATTTGTTCTAAACAGATTTTTAATTTAGTGTTCATTTTTCGAATTACAGCGCCGAACTTTTGTTCGCGAGTTTAAAAAGCGAATGCGGAATGGAACAGCGTTTATTTTGAAAGTCAGCGCGTTACTCACACGTAACTAATTCCGCAGCGCCACTCAGCACGTATGAAGTGCAACAGAGACGCACCACTTTAATAAATTCACCGCAAGCTTGTATCCGGTCCGTTTATTATCTGACTTCGAGCAATTTAGACGGTCCCACTGAATTCCCAGATATTATACAACTGCTACGTGACTTAGAAATGCGAAGATTTCTCTGGTGATCGCACCGACAGAAGCAGTTTCACATATCTCTAAGTTAGTTTGAATTTATTTAGTATGCAAGTTTCTTGCTATAAGTCCTGAATATTTAATATGCCTTTCTGGATTCCGAGAATTCATTTTGATACTCGACGTAATACTCGTTTGATATTGACTGAAATCAAGGATTTCGTCTTATGCTGTGATGGTGAACACAAATGTAACCTTAAAATAATTTAAAATAATACATTCTACTTCGTTAGCAATAAAGACTCCGGTCCTTCAGTAGTAAAATAAATTTCTTGGATTCGGGAAACGTAATAAATTTTTTTGGTTAGGCAAGACATACCTAGAATAATAGGTACTACTTCATCATAGGATCATACAATGATAGATCATTAAAATATAACAAGTTTAACGGTTTGAAACGTGAAATATTTATGTTTCCTTATTTATAACTTAATTTTAGAATTGATCAGTTAGGAATGTGCCCGCCCACACGTGTAGGATATCAATGTGTTTTGTTAAAGAATGAAAAAGACGCTAATATATAATAGC